GATACTTCTGTTGTTCTCAAGCTAGTGATTCATACCACACAGAAACATTCACAATTCAAATGCTTTCTGGATAAAACTTCGAATATTCTCATGTAATAAAAGGGTTCGTTAATGGTATGGGTATGTACGAGATATAGGGCGTGAGTATCTTATCGAAAGCATGAACAATTGCAGTTTTTTCAGCTGTTCTACCTCAAAACTGTTCGTTTCAAAATCAAAGTTGAGTAGTATTTTGTAGTAACTACCAGACCTCTTGTGATTTATTAGCAGCATTATATTTTTGTTACAAATGCATCTTTTTCTTAATACTTATATCTGAAAAATGCAAAAAATATTGCAGAAGTTACGCATCTTTTCGTATTACTACAAGAAACATAACTAACCACCAACAAAAAACCTTAATAGTTGTGTTATATCTGTATTAGTCAGAATCGACAAAGGGTTTATAGCTGTCCCCAGAATTGATAATCGTTATAAATTACACTAAATATATTTTATTCACAAATACGTAACACTCTGAACATTTGATAAAATCAATATCGCTATTTGCTATCAATACACCACATTTTCATTCAATGTAAGCTCTCGTTTTTATTGCTCAAAAGTGGTTCTTTTACTCCGCGTTCCGCGAATTTAATTGAAATTCCCTCAATCCACACTTCATCATTGCAATTACATTACCAAATGAAGTTCTCTAGCAGACGGCTTCCCTATTTCAGCGAATTCGAAAATGGTTTTTTTATCAAGAATAAAAATAAATTCATCCAAGCCGTGCACAAACGCAATATGGCATGTTAGCCCCGGGGCCAGAGACAGATTTTTGTCAGGAATGATTCGCCTAATGGAGTAATGAAGCATAATATACGTCAGCTAGTAACTAAAATAATAAATTGATGGATGTAGCTCTTACTACGTGGTAGGAAATCATAATGAAGAATAGATAAATTAAACTTTCTATGTTTTTTACCACTTTTATAGGACGAAACTGCAGTAACGTTAGTTACAAACAAAAGTCGTAAAAAACATTGGAAAGTTTAGAGTTTTTTTTTCTCAACTGAAATAATGATTTCAGAGATTTTTCAATTGGAAATTTGTCAGGGAATACAGAAAGGATAAAAAGTAAGTTGGCTGAAAACTGGTCAGATGAAGGGTTTTGTAATATTTCGAAGAAATACAACCGACAGCAGATTTTAAGTCGAACAAAAATCATCTGACCCTTGGAGACAGTCGCTGACGTGGCCATTCACGGTGCCGCGGCTGACGTTTTTTACCAGTTTGAGATAGTGAACAGCAGGCTGAAAATATTTCAGGAAATCACAGTTTTGTTCTAGTCACACTCACTAAGCTCAACAAGGATGATTACGATGTCTCTCAGGAGCGGCAAGTAGAAAATTGAACCAACTTCAAAAGTACTTCAGGAAAGCCCGTCATATACTATTATTATTATGAATACACTGACCCGATACTTAATTATTTGAGATGCATTTCACAACCATGTATCGAAAAGCGTCTTGAATGAAATTTTGTTTGAAAAATTTATAATCATTATTATATGCAGATTTCATATGCAGAAGATATAGTTATCTTGCAGACCTGCAAATTTGTGAACACACTGTGCGATAGAGCACAGGATGGGCTCAAATTATTAGAAACATGGTGTCAATACCAAGTCGGTCAATACCAAGAAGACTGAGATGGTCCTCGTCGCCAGGAAAAGAAGTTTATCGTGCTTAAAGCCTCCCGAGATCTTCAAAAGCAAACTAAACTTCTCTGAAGAGGTGAAATACATTGGTAATACCCTCGACAGGAAGCTAACATCGAAGTCTCACCTAGAGAGTAGAGCAAAAAAGCATATGTGGCTTATGACCAATGTCGGAGGACAGTGGGACACGCATGGGATGTTTCACCCCGTGTGGTCACCTGGATCTACACTGCAATAATAAGACCTATGTTAACGCACGGAGCCATTGATGGGGACCAAAAGTTCCACAAGCAACGGCCACACAAATTATGTCAAATACAACGATTGGTTTGTTTGAACATCACAGGAGCTATGAGAACAACACCAGTCGCGGCAATGGAATCAATTACTGGTCTGACCCCTCTGGACCTGTACATTGAGGAGGTTGCATTAAGGGGCATGTTACGATTGCACACGGCAGGTGTAAACCTCGAAGTAGGAATTGGTCAATTGAGGCTAAGCCTATGCCGAAAAGCGCTTACTGCGCAACCTCTGTTGCAGGCAGCCAGTGATGCAATAAATCCTACAAAATACAAATGAAACAGAACACAGGGTCAGATGCTACAAATGCAAGACTCATATATACAGATGACTCAAAAACCAAAGAAAAACCAAGATGTGGAGTTTACTCCAGATCACTAAGCCTAAGGATTGAGTGGGAAGTGGGAAAAAATACCAGCGTGGTTCAAATCAAATCAAATCAAATCCTTTATTTTCCTGTTCGACAATTTCATAAGTAATTGTATTAGGAATAGTCAGTAAAGCTAAAATTATAAACTACTACACTAAAAGTAGAAGCACACACGAAAACGCATGCACACACCACACATACACTTACGTTAAATAATCATCAACACTGTAATACGCATTCAGAACTAAAAAATTTTTAATCTTTGTTTTGAACATCTCTAATGTTTTGCTTTCTTTTATTTCAGTTGGTAAAATATTGAACAAACGAGGACCTGCAACATTAGGACCTTTAAGAGCAATCCGCCCTCGAGCTAGAGGAACTTGATATATTTTTTTTGGCCTAGTGTTAATTGTATGAGTAGAGCCTATTAAAGGAAATTGACTTCTATTTTGAAAAACGTAGACACAAATTTCCATTATGTACAAGCAGAGTAAAGTCAGTATTTGTAATTTCTTGAAAAAAGGTTCACAGGACTCCATGTAACTTATACCAGTGATACTTCTGATGATGTTTTTTTGAGCCAAAAATACTTTACCTGCGTTGGTTGACCAACCCCAAAAACGTACACCATAGCGCAATCTCGACTCCACTTCAGCATAGTATATAATTTTTAGTTGATCTAGACTGAGAATATAGCTAAGATTTCGTAGCTTGAATGCTAAAGAATGCAATTTTGGTATAAGGCCATCAGGATGTACTTTAAAATTGAGATTTTTGCCAATTTCAACACCCAAAAACTCAGTACTTTTTGACAATGGAAGCAGCTGATTATTCACATCAATATATAGTGGGTCAAGAATTTTTTGATAATTACAAAATTGAATAATTACTGTTTTATTTGGATTGAAAACAAGCGAATTACTGGAAAACCACCAGTTCAATGATCTCATTGTTTGCTCGCATTTTCGTTGTATACTTGTTTGGTCGGAGCCTGTTACAATCGTGGCAACGTCATCAGCAAATTTCACACACTTTGCATCAGGAACAGATTCGTCAATTTTATCTATATATACTCGGAATAGTACAGGTCCCAAGACTGAACCTTGTGGTACTCCGAGTGATAGAGGTATCCGTTGAGAGTTCATTATTCTTGGTGATGGTTACATATTGGCTTCTGCCAAACATAAATGAATCGATCCAATTATTCCAAATTTCCCCAAAACCCAGCTCATGTAACTTTCTTGATAGTACCTGAGGATTGACGCAGTCAAATGCCCTGCTGAGATCGCAAAAAATCCCAACAGGGCACTCGCCAGCATCTATGCTATCAGCTAAATTTTCATATATGGATTGAATCGCGGTATTAGTGGTTCACACAGAACTGGTTGTTATCTCAATCGCCACAAAAGAAATAACCAGGAAAGGAATTTCTGGCAAAAACACAACAATCTGCGTTGATAGTAGACAAGCCCTATTAGCATTGAATAGACAACGTGTTACCTCTGGACTCGTACTAGAGTGCCACCAAGATTCAGCCAAAGCCTCGGTAGATAATAACATTATCCTGAGGTGGCTTAAAGGGTACGATAGGAGTAAAGGTAATCGCATTGCCGACTCTTCAGCCAAGGAAGCGGCTCGACTACGAATTTGAGGACCCAGTGACACCTACGGCCTGATGACTTCGACAATTGTGGAACCAGCCAAACTTCACACCCATGCTCAATGTCTAAAGAGATGGGATGAAGTGCCAGGATCACCCTTAACGACCCTGGGAAGCTGGCGCCGAAGAAATATCTGGCGATGACCACGAAAAACCTACGCTTGATATTATGGGGCTGATGGATACACCTCTATGCAGGATGTGTGAACAAAAAGATGAAACTGTCAGGCACATCTTCATCTTAAAAGCGAAAAACTATATACTCGTATTTATTAATACATTACCGACGTATATTTTAGAATTTTTGCCATCTTAAGGTTCTAAAATATTAATACATTGGAAACACAGAAATGTACAATGAGTAACTTCCCTACAAGTAATATTTTACAATTTCAGTTATGATACTAAGCTATCACACTAGGAATAAAATTAATAAATTTCTTTGTTTGTAATCTATCAATATTTCGGAACCTGAAGAAGGCGAAACTGCCGAAACGGACGTGGTAATTCATCAAAAATGAATATATAGAACTTTAAACTTCATTTCTATATCGACAGGGAGTCTACTAAATAATACTATATTTCGAGATAGCCAAATGGCAACAGTCCTGAAACACTTTTAAAACTGGTCTAAGTTCTGTACATGTGGCACCTAGAAGAGGCCCTAGTCACCCTTATTGATGAGCTCCATCCCGTGTATAACAGTGCGACTTGGAAAAATATGTTCTGTCCGCCAATCATAAGCTCTTAAACTATTCGCTTCATAACATAATTATACAAAACATTCTTGAAATTATTGAATGAGAAAAAATTGGTCACCAAAATCTGTCACTGGCTCCCCGGCTATATGTAGCTCCGAGGCTCATAATGTAATTTTTCATGTGAAAGCACCTGCGGAACATCATTTGGAACTCTCGCCGCCATTTACTAATATATATTTTTCATTTAGATATTTTTTTATTTCGCAGGCGGAGATATGGAGCGTGTTCATTGCCATTTTGAGGAAGAGCGTCCGCAACCTGCAAGCGTGTACAGATGTTGGACTCATAGAACACGTTCTCAAGAGATTGAGGACGGCGGATGTGGTTGTGGCAGGTGAGTGAAGTCTAGTTTCTAAAAAGAAATTATTGTGAAACGTTATGCTCCTGCTCTTTAGTCGGCTATATGAAAAAATCTAGTTCTGACTTAGTAAGTTGAATAATTTTGTGTTGAAATTGATCAAACAATTCTTTTGAATAAGCCATTTGATATAAGTACTGTAGGAGATCGTGAAACACGTGAGTTTTGGTTTTCAAGATGAAAGTCAAACCCTTGTCAACTACCCCCACCCTCGAATAATAGTCGAGTGGCACCTCATTTAAAAGGTCTTTCAATTCTGTATAGAACCTCATGAATTCGGTTATTTACAACATCAGCAATGTCAGAAAAAACTTACTTTTGAGTTCATATTTAACTTACAACTAAAAAGTGAAACGTAAACAGAAAACTTCACTCCATTAAATTTTTGAACTGATGACCATTATCCTGATACAATAGTATAAACCAGTTACTGTTTTAACCCTTACATTCTGAATAATATCAGCTCTTGGCAATTCCCCCCCGAAATCATCTACAGCAGTTGGATACATCTCGTAGACTTTTCATTTCAACCATCGTCACATAAAAAAGTCAACTGGAGTAGTTGGTTCAGACCGATTTCGGAACCTCCCCCCACCACTTTCAACCTTGAAATGACCTTTGTTCCAATTTTGTACAGGAATTTGTTCTGTGCCCCAATGTTTTGAGATGTTAAATCATCCTTTTCGCAGACACTATTCTATTACAATAGTTGCACAATTCCTGAACTGCACTTGGTTGGGCAGAATCCGCTCTGGGTCACAGTGGTCACAGTGAAACATATTTGTAGGGATATTCAGTACGCATTCAGACAAGCGTGTGCAACACGCCGAATCCTGCTCTTCCATTCAACTCCTTTACAATATACAAAACTTAAAAGTATTCATCGAACATATGATGTACATCATCTTAACGGCTGTTTTAGAGAAGCCAATGTAATTGAGCATCAATAACGAGATGTCTCCTGTATCTGTTGCTGCCAATATGTCACCCGTTATTTTAAGCAAAGCTGTTATACAGCTATGTAGAGGCCTAAAACCCGACTGAAAGAGAGACATTAGATTATAGTTACTCATATATTCCCTGATTTGTTTATTCAAAATGCGTTCCAATACTTATGGGTCTAAGATCTTTGTAGTCTAAACTATCAGCTATTTTGGGGACAGGTATAACATACGAAATTTTCCATTGAGTTGGGAAAAAATTTTCAAGTATACAGCTATTGACTAGGTATATGTAATAAAGCATTTTTTATTATCGAAAAGCATATATTTATCATTGTCATATTAATACCATCGACTCCAGTTGCATTAGTTTTCAAGCAATTTACTGCATCTACAACGTCTTCTTCAGATACAAAGTAAAATTCGAAATTATTTCAGTCCAGATTCGGGGATAAGTTGTTATTATAAAATTCCAAGGTCAAACCCAAAACACTCCTTCAAAGTCACCTTGTGTTTACTTCGTGCGACGTATGTAGAGGTCATTTCAAGGTTAAAAGTGGAGGAGAGATTTCGAAATTGTCTCAAACCAACTGCTCACTGAAGTCAAATAAGGGAATCTTCCAATCCATCGACTCGAAAATTCATTATCGAGGAACTATCATACTAGTACGCAATGAGAAAAAGCCCCATTTTTTTTAAAAAACTATCCCATTTCACAATAATGATTCTAATAGGATGGTGTATCCTTATCATTTTGATTTGCTTCCGAAAATATGGTTACCCAGAATTCCTACCTAAACATTTCATTTTTGGGTATATTGGATGTGAATTTGACGTCATATTTGGATTTGAATCCCTCTTGTGTCAAAAATTTTAAAGATTTACGTGCTCGTGCTCATTCAGATGAAAGGTACAATTATCTAAAAAACATGTATTGTACAACAAAGCTGGATTACGATTTACGCGTTCTGAGACAACATCAAAAGATTCAACTCTTCTGCCAAAAGTCATTTTGTGAGAGTGAAATTTGTGCAGATCAGGAATGCTAAAGACGTTTGCACCACTCACTCTTGATGTTTGGGTCAACTTAGTCAAAGATTGCGTATTTTTATAAAGGTAACGGGGCCCAGAACTGCAACATTGATGCCTTCGTCATTGATTATTCGTGAACGGTATGTTATTAACGTTACCAGTTTTCATAAATCCATTCATTGAAGAGTGTTAACTTTTACGGCGTGAGATAACTGTATTTTTTGACCGTGAATATGAAATATGTATAAGATGATGGAAATTATACAAAAAGTGTATAATAGATAAAGTGCACACACTGTGGACACTTGATTCTTTCTGGGAGTTGTCACTTTCCATACCACAAAGAACTGGCCAGTTGAGTTTTGTCTCAACACTTGGATTCCTTCATGAGAGAGGAAACTTTGAATGGACATGAAAAACCGACGAGTTGGAGTTGCAAGGAATGAAGAAAATGCACAAAATATATTTCATATATAGCGTGTTATATGAAGAATCAAAAAATCGGTAGTGGCCACTGAGGCACACCACGAAAAAAAAGTTACTAAACTACCAATCAGCGTATCCAAGTTAATAGAATTCATTCCATTTGGCTAAAACACACCGTAATCCTGAATTCTTGACTGATTCTTAGGAGGAATTCTAATGTCAATTTGTCAATTCGACACGGCCTTTTCGAGCATTCTCAATAGAAAAAATCGGTGAAATGCCTTCGCCTATCAGCGACAAGACGTATTAGATTAATCGAACGGAATGCGATGTTGGGTTTTTGTGGTTCGGTTTCTAGACATGATTAGTGTCGGACATCGATTTCATTCCGCGCTCTGTGGTTGGTTTGCCATTCTTCGTACGCTCCTTTTCTTTTTTTATTCGAAGTTAACCGCAAATGGAAGTTGTTGCAATTGATTCTCTTTGAGAAAAAATGGCATTCATTATATTCCACCGTTTTTAATCAGGGAGGAGTATATTACCGTTCTCCATTCAAAATACAATCATTCAACTCATGCATTATGGTTCGACCTTCCGTGATAATACTTATAGAATTTTCAGCATACATTTTATTCAAAAAGCATTTCGCTACATGGTAGCTTTATCAGTTACTAGTACATCAAACTATTCTATAATAAATATTATATAACCGTAGGTAATGACAACTTCAGACTAATATGCAAATTTCTATCGCCTTAGTTCACTTTATACCGCACTTTTAACTAGATCTCCCTCGATCTACTTGTTGGTAGTGTTTATATATCGTAATGGAAGTCTCAGGAAGTCGATAGGAATCTTCTTGAAGAGACGCGACATCTAGAACGATCGCGAAGCGCAAGTTGAGTTGAGCGCGACCTTGGCCAAGTCACAATTGATTTGACGACGACCAGCGACGGCCAGCGTAATTTTTTTAGGGGATGGTTTACAATAGTACTAACCAAATTATACCTAGTTCGTGCTTTATATAAATAAACAGTTTAAATCATATGACCTTCTACCTACTGAATGACTAATAATTCTGTCTAACTGATTTTTTTTATCAATTACAAATTTATGCAACGGGAAAGAAATTCTACAAACTCATTCAAATGGACATTTAATTAATAGAAATTAACTGATGTCACGTATCAACTAATTAACGATTTCCATATTAAGATAATAAATGAGAATGAAGTGAAAATTCAGTGAATTTTGAGAATTTGTATTCGATTGTTTTTTCCACGCACTTTCAAAGATCGAGTTTGAAACCTTTCTCTTTCAATTTAACACGCAATATTCTTGATTCTAATCATAATTCTTTGCCAAAAGAAGGTTTGCAAATCTGAAATCGGTCTTTACATTCAAGAAAGTACGCATATGTTCTCCTATTCGTTGTTGAAATTTTCATTCCGTTTGACCAATATTAAGTTTTGTTGAAGAAAGGGCTGTCACTCACATGGATGGAGAGGGGCGCTGAAGAATAATGTTGGAAAAGTCTTTTCAGAAATGAAAAATGCAGTGTTTTCGGATTCCACTCATAAGTTGTAAATTACTACATATGGATTTTTCATTTGTGTATCAGAACATATCTCCGGCACTTATTGTTACATTAATGAATATGTTCGAACTATGGAAATATTCTGATTTCCTCAATTAAAAACAATAGATTTTTGCTGGATCCTCATTGTATATTTGGAATTTCACCTTCGCCGCTATTCGGTTTCCGATAGTCGAAACGTGAGACAAATAAAAATTCGGGGATTCAGAAACGAAGCTTAAGTAATTATATTTACCATAAAAAACTGGATCATCTTTCAGCGTTACTAATCCACCCGACTGATGAAGCTTTTTCATCGGCTTTTTTCTTTTTCAGATTTGCTCATCGAAATGCTTGGCGTATTGGCGAGCTATAGCATCACTGTCAAAGAACTGAAGCTTTTATTCGGCGCCATGAAAGCCGTTACGGGAAAATGGGTAAGTTTGAATCGATACGCAGATAGACTTTTCGTTGGTGGAAGAAAATTGGAATTGATAATGATTGCTCACGTTACCGAATTACAGATACGAGGGCAGGTAAAAAAATAAGGAGAAATAAATTTTTCTCAAAAAATATTAATTTTTTCATCAATTTCTATGATATAGTCCCCCTCAGATTCAATACACTTCCTAAAAGTGACATATTTATGTTTCTCAAAGATAGCTTTACTTATGAAATATTTTCAATATTTTCGTTTTTTTTTGTTTTGGTTACTTCATTCAAATTTAGTCTAAAACTATGCAAATTCTGACAACGATCGACAAAATCTTACTCAATATTGACTGACCAACTTTGATTTTTCCAGCCACGTCATTCCGCCAAACTGCTGAATGTTTTGAGACAAATGCCACAGCGATCAGGACCTGACGTTTTCTTCAGTTTTCCAGGAAGAAAAGGATCGGTAAGACAATTCGATTTTTTATAATAATCCAAATTGTCATTTTTCTGACGGAAAAATTAACTTTGTAGTGATCCCTGGTGTTTCAACTAAAGAAACGTGTATGTTTTTTGTGTGAATAATCATAAACACGCGAAACCACAATTTGGTTGACGCCATATGAACGGCAACCCTCAAGTCGAAATTCATGTAAGCTGGGGATTAACTAGGTCTTTTTTCGTGCGATTCCTATCACGGGTTAAATGATGGACAGTAAACTTTTTATCTCAGAGTTGGGTTCGAACTGTAATTCACAACAGCAGAGGTTTCTTGGGTAGAGTTCAACAATCAACCGATATCTATCTAACCCAATTGAATGTTGAGATTTTTAACCCCGAAATTAAATAAAATAAGTTGAATAAAAGCATTATTTTGACCAAACCACTAAAAACTCAATATATCGATCACGAAAACATATGTGTTTTGTTCTCAAACTGAATTTTTCAACAATAGAGTATTTTCGCTAAAAATGCAATCAACTTAATTCATTTTTATAAAAGACTCGTTCTTCAAGAGATATTATTATTTAGAAAAAATATCATAGTTATTCGATTTTTGGAAAAATAGGATTCACTTAATTTCTAAAAGTATAATTGAAATGGAATCTCGTAATAGTTTCTCAAGAAGTCCCCTATCTGTGTCTCTTTTAAGAGACACTAAACGGTTTTGTGTGTATTTTCTGCAAGTAATATCTTGTGTCTTGAACTGGACTATATCTCTTTGTGTGAAAAATCTCGACAGACCCTCATTCACTGGCAGAAAAGAGCTTTCGCAACGATCGCTTTCCCCCAATATACTTTTTCAAAAGTGTTGTTTGGCTAACTAAAAGTTTATCGTTGTCTCATTGTTTGTTCTCTACTCGCCAATTTCGACAGTAAATAAGGAAAAAGTAGAATGAACATACCAGACGCTGGTTTTCCAACGATTCTCTAAATTTTTTGTTGCTTTCATTTGGCAGCAGTGGCGTAGGTATATAGAATCTCATAGAATGAAATTCAAAGTCCATTTTTCAACCCGCACTCAACTACTTTGGTAGCAAGTAACACTTTATACTGAAGTGAAAACAAAACTAAAATTACGAAAAGAACAATGGAAACTGTTGGAAATTTCGTGACCAATACGTTTCTGAATTGGCTCGTGCATGGACTTACAACAAATCCTTTTGAAATTATAATAATTAACAATTTGTTTTGAAGAAATATGAGAAAAAAATACATCTCCTCAGCACTGCGTCCGTTACCACATCGCCTTTGATAATATCTACCGCAATAATAGACTAAAGGTCATGCATAAAAACATGGCCAAAATACCTGAAAAATCGGTTTCTCACTTTCCTTCTCATCTTCGGCCGTTAAAGTTCACAATCTTCAATATAAAAACTTCAGCAAATTCACTTATTTATGTACGACACATTGGTCAGTACGATAGGTCGGTCGGTAGCCGGGCGGTTCGACGTGGGTGCTTTGTTCACTCAGTCAGTCGGCCGATATGTGTCTCGATGGTTCAAGCTCCAGGCTAAATGGTCGATTTTCACTTGCTATCGTCCAACCCGTGTTAAGAATCACACGTTAAAAGGTAAGACCTCGTTAGTCCTTAGCTCGCACAGGTTTCGACTTCTGAGAGTTGTTGTTCGTAGTAGTGCGATAGCTGGTTAACGGAAAAAGCATATTTAAACGTTGATCCGAGTATTTTATTCGAATGTATCAATTACTGAAATATTACATATGATATCGTAAAATTCATAAAGTTGGAAATCTAATATCTCACTTATATTTGCGGATGATAATAAACTCCAGAAAAGAATTTGATTCTGATAATCAAGTCATACCAGGTTTGAAAAACATGTGGCTCCCAATACCGTTCTTACTTATTAATGAAGGATTTTTTCATTCTGTTTCAGGCAATTGTTCTTCCACCTCTAGCAAAATGGCCATATGAAAATGGGTTCACTTTCACCACGTGGTTTCGCCTGGATCCTATCAATTCTGTGAATATTGAGAGGGAAAAACCGTATTTGTATTGGTAAGTTTTCAGTAGAGAGACAAGAGACATTTTTTGTTAAGAATGAAACAAGCTATCGGAAACAAATTTTTAAATGGTAAACAAATAATAAGACAAAAAGTTACATTGGAAATAAATTTTAGGGGTTGCGTTTTCCACCCCTTACAACCATGGGGTAAACCAAATAAATTTCTGGATAAGTGTCTTTTTGATAGTACAAAACATCAGGTTAATTTCAATATTGTAACTTTTTTAGTGCTTGTGAAAAAAATTGTTATACAAATTTTATGTACCCCTTTTAAGGAGCTGTATCTTAAGAAGTGGTGCTCTAATGAAAATTCTTCACATGAAAGATCCTATCTTTTTTTCGATGAGGAATCACCTCCTTAAATGTTTTACACTTATTTAGTTACACCCTGTATAGTCTTACTGAACGTAAAGATACAAGTAAAATAAACAATGACACATTACCATACTGGACAAGGTGGAACAAACAAAAAACAAAAATATCAAAAATATAAAAATATAAAACTCCAAAAAATCAAGCAATTGGGACTTTTTCAATGATAATTGTAACAGTTAGTTGATTATTTTTAAGATACATTTAATTTTTTTCTTGCATGATGATAATGAACAGCTTGATTTAATTTCAGGTAATTTATTTTAATCAATAAAACCTTCAATTACCAATGATTTCATGGAATTGTGCTGGTTAGTTCTGTGACATATAATAAATTAAGATTTATTGTATTGTGGTTATGTATGTTGGATGTAATATTAATGAAGGATTGAAAGTAGAATGGTGACATTTTATTGAGAATTTTATAAATGAACATCATGATCATATAAAAAAATCTCTGTGATAATGAAAACTACTGAACGACTTCAACACAAATGCAATACTAGTAACTTTAGGTAATCTAAGGATGATCGTCACTCCACGGTTCTGGAGTTTCTGTAATTGCTCTGTCTGATTGTGATTTAGTAAGATTTAGGATGGCCCAAGGACATACCAGAAAGTGCATAACAAGGATTAAGAAAAATGAATATTCACTTTATTTTTTGAACATACCTTAAATATTCTCTGTCAGTGAGAAAGAGCAACCACGGAAACATGTACTTTCAATTGGCATATATTAATTGTGTATTAATTCCGTTCATAGTATACTTAAATAGATAACACTTCCTCTAGGATATAACAAAGCTGATTCATATTATTCGCGATCGCTTTGGTTGTCGCATAAACAAGTTGGAAGTGGCACAACTGGGAACCGGAAAGTTTACGAACTTTCGCGAAAATAAAAGAATTCTTGTACCAGGTGAGAAAAGGATGAGTTAAACGGTTCAAGAAATTCAGAACTTGTAAAGCTTAGACGCGTCTTGCGAAAGTTTTTCGAACATCAGGCAGTAAGAAATTTCACACTATAATGTATGTTATTATAAGTTTGATGTTGCAGGGATTTGAGAAGTCACCAAATTGGGATACGTTTATTCGCTCTTAAGAATGTTTAATGTTGAATGCGAATTTATTTTCTACAGATGAACATAAACTTTTGAATACTCGAACAGTCATTTTTGTATTCGAAGTGAAATGTACGTTTAAATTTACAAAGGATAACATTTGGTAGTTCTCGATCTAGATCACGATTGCTAAGGTCTCTATGAAATGTCTACGACCGACGCAGACATCATCCAACTCAGCATCTGCCCAATTTTTCTGTCTTAGGAGAAATTTCAACAAAAAATTTCTCAGACACGACAATTTTCATCGATTCTTGTTCTTGTCTCTTCAAACCCTCAACGGAGATAGATCCCAACCCCTATAGTCATCATGGGAAAGACGAGTCTCGATTGATGATTCATTCAAAAGGGTACAAATTTACCTTTCTAATGGAATCCCACTCGTTGGATTTCACTTTGATAATTGATTCGTAAACAGTGTTGAATGTGAAGTACAAAATAGTTTGTGGTGTGCTTGAGCCGTAATGTGATTGAAACCTCTCTGGATCTCAACAAAGTTTGAAGTTGGATCAAGATTGCAAATATTCCTACAGATTCTACACAGACTTCGAGAATATATCAATCAAATAGCATAACGATGAAGCAGCATTGATATAAGTGGAAAGTAACCAGTTTAATCTGTCCTAGGTCGTATCCAAAGTAAGCATGAAAACATGAAAAACATGCTGACAAGTCAAATCATCTATAGGAACAATTCTTTCAGGCCAGTCTCAACTACCTACACTGTGGGTTAATGGACTGGCACCTATCAGAAAACAGCTACTCCCCTGGCTAATACCACGAAGGGCGTTGGTATTATCCTTCGTGGTATTAGCCCAGGGCGTTGGTATCAGGGGCGTTGCTATTAGCCTTCGAGGTATTAGCCAGGGGGGTAGTTGTTTTCTTATAGGTGTGAGTCTATTAATCTACAGTTCAGGGAGTTGAGACTGGCCTTAACGAATTGTTCCTTCAGATGATTTGATTTAGAGCCAGTCTGCAAGTATGCCCACTGACTATATGTGAAAAATGCTAACAAGTGATGACGTAGATGTTATATAGTATTGAGTTGTTCCAAAAGTTTGGACGTTTTAATATCATGTGTTTTTGTAGCTCCATATATCAATACATTTTACTGATCGATAGGAAATGTTGTATTCTGTACGTTAATGCTTATTTTTATATGATGTGGTTAAGCGATTTTCAGCCATTATTTCTCTACGAATTCAAATTGAACTAGAGCGCTGCCGAAATAGCCCGAAAAATCAACCTGGAATTTGGCAATGATAGTGTTGACGTTGGTTTGCGAGATTTCGTTCCGTAGACTCTCCTCGAAGTTAAGCGCTGCGGCTTCTGCCTTGAACAGAAATGCTCCAATACCTCTTCTCTCAAGGTCGCTGACCGTTCAGAAAAGGTGATCCAAACTCATGTTGACTTTACAGGCGCCATTCAGTACCATCTTATTGTGTAGAGTTATTATTAGTCATTCAATATCTGTTATTATTATTATCATTTTACATAAGTGGGCCCCAAGTTGTGTATTTCCTATCTTAACAGTGTGCATTGGAAAATACTTTTTATACCTAAATCCTGCGCCATTACGTTTAAAAAAACATGATTTAGTTTTTGTCGTTTTTCGAAAGAAAACTGCTATTTGAAGTGTTTCTTTGAAGAAGTCACATTCCGCGTTTGGTGGCCTGGTTTTCGTGAGGCTGCTACGGATAGTGCTTCTGGATCTTAAGCAGGTTCTGATGTTATAATAAATTGATGGATGTAGCCGTTACTACGTGGTAGGAAATCATAATGAAGAAAAGAGAAATGAAACTTTCTGTTTTTTACCACCACAGTAACTAACGTTACTGCAGTTTCGCCCTATAAGGACATTTTCAAACTTATTGTAAAAGTTGATTATTTCGTCCGTATAGGACGAAACTGCAGTAACGTTATTTACAAATGAAAGTGGCAAAAAACAAAGAAAATTTCATTTCTCCTTTCCTTATTCTGATGTTATACTTGAATCCAATTTGGACCCAATTCCTCTTATCCTTTCCGACAATCCTCTGAAGTGGAAAGTACAAGTACTGGTTGTGATGGCTTCTCTTCCTTGTGAGGCCCTTACTGTCTTCTAGCCAAAGTCTACTCCACCATCACTTTGGAATAACCATTCCATTGAGGATGATGTTTGATGATCCTAGTTTCTTCTCGAGACGTTCCTTCGTATTACAAAGCCCTAAAGCACGGTCTACTAGAGTCTTGATGATTCCTCTCTTAGTCGATTGTTGGTGGTTGGACTCCTGGTTCACATACTGTCCCGTATGAGTGGGAACTGATGAAATAAAACATACTATTTGGTTAAATGATTCTTATTCCTACATTTGAATTTGAGATCATTATTTTTATACCCGAATTCTTCACCATTTTGTTAGTACTATCTTCAGAATTAATTATCGGGACACAAATCTTTACACCAAAGTCCTTCGCCATTGTATTATAAAAAATCATGATTCAACTTTTATCGTTTTTCGAAAGAAAAGTATTAGGAAAAGTGCTCATTTGAAGAAATCATAATCCATGCATGATATGAAATATAGTATCTGGTTTGACCAGATTCATATTCTTTGGTCTGGAATTGAAAATTGTGTTTAATACCTAGTCCTTCGCCATTTTATTGAGTGTGTCAATTGTTTTCAAATATGAAAAATTCGTATTGTGGTTTTCTCATGAAAGGTTTCAGATTTCAATTTCCGTTGTATGTCAAAAGAAATATACTAATTGTGTACCTCTTCGAGGACATGAAATAAACGATTTGTTTAAATGATTCTTATTTCTACATCTGAATTTAAGACCATTATTTTTATACCCGAATTCTTCACCATTTTATACTAACTTGAAAATTGATTGAGGACAACGTTTTTTATACCAGTTCTTCGTCATTGTATTCTAAAAAACGATGATTGGTCACATTCCATGCATGATATGAAATGTAGTATCTGGTTTCACGAGATTCATCATTTGGTCTGGAATTGAAAATTATTTTTGATACCTATACCTTCGCCATTTTATTGAGTGTGTCAAACGTTTTCAAATATGAAAAATTCGTATTTTGTTTTTCTTATGAAAGGTTTCAGATGTCAATTTCCGTTGTTTTTCTAAAGAAATATACTAGTTGTGTATCTCTTCGAGGACATGAAATAAACGATTTGTTTAAATGATTCTTATTTCTAAATCTGAATTTAAGACTATTATTTTTATACCCGAATTCTTCACCATTTTATACTATCTTAAAAATGAATTGGGAAACACTTTTAATACCAGTTCTGCGCCATTGTATTCTAAAAAACGATGATTAGTCACATTCCATGCATGATATGAAATGTAGTATCTGGTTTCACGAGATTCATCATTTGGTCTGGAATTGAAAATTATTTTTGATACCTAGACCTTCGCCATTTTATTGAGTGTCAAACGTTTTCAAATATGAAAAATTCTTATTTTGTTTTTCTCATAAAAGATTTCAGATGTCAATTTCCGTTGTTTTTCTAAAGAAATATACTAGTTGTGTATCTCTTCGACGACATGGAACATACTATTTGGTTGAATGATTCTTATTCCTACATCTGAATTCAAGACCATTATTTTTATCCCCGAATTCTTCACCATTTCATACTATTTTAAAAATGAATTCAAGAACGAACAGTGTGAGATTCAATGTTTTAGTGTATATGACTGTTTGTGAACAAATGTGAGTGTCTGTATAGATAATACATTTTTTATTTGTGAATTATAGTATTAAATGTTAACAGTGAGTATCTAGAATATTTATATTAACAACACTTTGTATACCCGTCCGTCGCCATTGTATTCTAAAAAACGATGATTAATCACATTCCATGCATGTTATAAAATATAATATCTGGTTTCACGATATTCATATTATTTGGTCTGGAATTGAAAAGCATTTTGATACCTAGTCCTTCGCCATTTTATTCAGTGTGTCAAATGTTTTCAAATATGAAAAATTCTTATTTTGGTTTTTTCATAAAAGGTTTCGGATTTCAACTCTAGTTGTGTACCTTTTCGAGGACATAAAATAAACGTCTGAATTTAAGACCATTATTTTTATACTCGACATCTTCATTATTTTATACTATCTTAAAAATGAATTGGGAAACAACACTTTTTATATCAGTCCTGCACCATTGTATTCCAAAAAATGATGATTAATCACATTCCATGCATGATATAAAATATAATATCTGGTTTCACGAGATTTATACTATTTAGTTTGGAATTGAAAATTATGTTTTGATACCTAGTCCTTCGCCATATTATTCAGCGTGTCAAATGTTTTCAAATATGAAAGATTCGTATTTTGGTTTTCTCATAAAAGGTTTCAGATTTCAATTTCCGTTGTTTTTCGAAAGAAATATACTTCTGCATTTAGATGCAATGAATTCATGCAGTACCATGGGTTCATTTAACGATATCATTTACATATATTAGGAATAATATTGAGCCCCTGAGGAACACCTACACTGATATCAAGATAATCCGAATTATAAGTGGTCACCGTTTTCTGAGTCACTCCTGAGAGACTAACGTACTGGCGACGTGCGTGCAGATAAGATTTTATCCATTCTAGAGCAAATACTTCAACACCAATTTTAATTAATTCAGTTATTAGGGTGGTATGGTTGACGCAGTCAGAAGCCCTGTTTAGATCACAGAATATCCCATCAGGGCTTTCGCCTGCATCGACCAGGTTAGTAAGATTTTCATAAAAGGAGTGGACAGCACTGCCTGTAGATTTGTTTCCTTGAAATCCATGCTGATTATCGATTAATGAGTGATTCAGCTTCAAGTGAGAATTTAACCTCTCTAAATAGGCGTATTCAAATATTTTTGAAAATATGGAGTGAATGATTCTTATTCCTACACCCGAATTCTTCACCATTTTATACAATCTTAAAAATAAATTTGGAAACAACACGTTTTATACCAGTCCTTCGCCATTGTATTCTAAAAAAAGATGATTAGGTCACTTTCTATGCATGATATAAAATATAGTATTTGTTTTCACGAGATTCATATATTTTGGTCTGGAATTGAAAATTATTTTTGATACCTAGTCCTTCGCCATTTTATTCACTCTGTCGAAATGTTTTCAAATATGAAAAATTCGTATTTTGGTTTTCTCATAAAAGGTTTCAGATCCAATTTCCGTTGTTTTTCGAAAAAAATATACTAGCTGTGTACCTTTTCGAGGACATGAAACATACTATTTGATAGATTGATTCTTATCTGAATTTGAAACCATTATTTTTATACCCGAAATCTTCACCATTTTATCAATACTAACAAACTGCTTTGAAACAATCTAATCTGGTGTTTTGAAAAGAAATCGAAGTACCTACTTTGCAAGTATTTTCTAAATGAATAACTCTGCTTTTTTTCATCAATTTTGTTATATAAAATCCAAATTTGGCTATAACCCGTTTCATCTAAATCAAATATGTATATCGAAATGACCCGGTTCTTTCATCCTACAGTTTCAAAACCAGCAAAGGCGTAGGATACACTGCACATTTTGTCGGAAATTGTTTAGTACTGACATCAATGAAAATAAAGGGCAAGGGCTTCCAACACTGCGTCAAGTACGAATTCCAACCGAGAAAGGTAAAACGAGAAGAATCACTTCAATCTGGAGTTAATAACGTCACTTTTGTTTTTAGTGGTACATGCTGGCTGTCGTTTATATTTACAACAGGTGGACGAAAAGCGAAATCAAATGTTTGGTTAATGGTCAATTAGCGTCGAGCACGGAAATGGCTTGGTTCGTTTCAACAAATGACGTGAGTATGGCTTACTTGATGCCAACGTAATTTATTTAATTTATTGTTCACGCGAGTGGGTGTTTAACTGTTTATGGGGGATTATATAACTCGTTTTACTTGCTAATGGCGCATAAATGTGTTTTTTCAAATATGCGCAACTTTGATTCATCGAGTGTCATTCAAGCTGACATAAATTATTCAATGAATTAACTATATACAGGGCTATTCAAATTCGTTTCTGTACATGTGGATCTCGTAAACGATAAGAGAAAGAGTGTCGATTAAATTGTGACAAATTTGCTTATTTTAGAGACCTATTCAATGATGTAAAAAAATCGAATATAGCTCTTTTAGTTCTGGAGATATACAAGAAAAACCAAAAAATCCCAAATTATTTTTTGGCCTTTATCTTCTTTATTCGCAGACATATTGAAAAGCTGTCCACATTTTGCTATTGGCACTTGATGTGGGGTATCAGAATATGTCCATGAATCTTTAACATAGGGTGTCATCTGACATGGGCACCCCCATCTTTGAATTTTTAAATACAGACCTGTATTTATTGTTGTAGTTTTTGGATCGTAGATGTTCACTTCATACTGAGAAATTAAATTTTATTTTATATTTCGAGATGTTTCAGTAATATTCGATTATAATTGGATGAATTATTCCTTTTTAAATTACGACCCTGGAAACTGGTTGACTGATTTGAATAAAAACACAATGGCAACTTTCATGACTTCCTATGTACCGTAGAGGTTTTCGAGAGTTTTTTTTCATTTAAAGGTACCTATTCATATTTTTTCCATTGCTAAGGGCGTTTTCTACAGTGAGCTTCGAGTAAGAAAACCTTTTATGATTATCTGAAACATATCTACAACAAAAATATATTATATGATGAGCAGAATATGATGAGATAGAAAATGTGGAAGACTCGAAATTGAGGATTTTCAACGATGCAGCAAATGTATTTTTGAAGGTGGTTGACAATGTTTCGTGGTGTATTTCATCAGTTCGGACTTTCATTGTCCAATATAACATATATTGATTAGAAAACCCTGAAAAAACAATTTAAAAAAAATCAATAAGATTAACCGAAATTAACAATTTCATTAAACAAAAAACTGAAATTACAGAGAAATAATTTTTATTTTTCAGCTTTTATTAATATTTCAATTTTTTTATTTGTTTGGTTGTTGCTTGTATGTTATTTCTCTGTAATTTCAGTTCTTTGTTTAGTAAAATTGTTAATTTCGGTCAATCTTATTAATTTTTTAATTGTTTTATCAGGGTTTTTAAATCAATTTATATTATATTAGACAATGGAAGTCCGAACTGATGAAATGCAGCAAATAGGTGTATCAAGGGCAATAAATAATATGAAAAACCGAATTCAAAAATGTCTCGAAATGAAAGGACTCCAATTCGAACATTTATTACGCCATTAATTTTTTTGTGTATATAAATTACTTCATTTCGTTTCGGATGTTATTATTGCTATCATTTCTTTTTCTGCTTGTTGAAACACATATAATATATTTTTGATGTAGATATGTTTCACATAATCATAAAAGTTTTTCTTATTCGAAGTTCATTGTAGAAAACGCTCTTAGCAATGGAAAAAAATGATCAGGAACCTAAAAATGAAAAAAAACACTTTCGAAAAACTCTACGTTACATAGGAAGACGTGGAAGTTGCCATTGTGTTTTTATTTAAATCAGTCAACCAATTTCCAGGGCCGTATTTTAAAAGGGAATCATTCACACAATTATAATCAAATATTACCAAAACATTTGGAAATATAAAATTAAATTTAATTTCTCAGTATGGAGTAAACGTGTACAATCCAAAAACTACAACAAAAAATACAGGTCCGTATTTAAAACTTCAAAGATGGAGGTGGCCCAAGTCAGATGACACCATGTATTAAAGATTCATGGACATATTCTGGTAGCCCACATTAAGTGCCAATAGCAAAATTTAGACAGATTTTCAATATCTCTGCGAATAAAGAAGATATAGGCAAAAAAATAATTTGGGATTTTTTTATTTTTCCTGTATATCTCCAGAACCAAAAGAGCTATATTCGATTTCCTTACATCATTGAATAGGTCTCTAAAATACGCAACTTTGCCACAATTTAACCGACACTCTATCTCTTATCGTTTACGAGATGCCAATGTACAGAAACGAATTTGAATAACCCTGTATATTACTTCAATCATTTTGAGGGTTATTTTGGCAGCAGAATTGTAGTTTCTGCGTTGAGATCCCTGTATTGACCAGGTTGAAGAGGTATTGATCTCAACAAGATCAATGTTCAGGGTTTTTATTGACCTGTTCCAAAATTTGTTCTACTTGTTCTAGACCTGTTCGAGACCCGTCCAAAACCTGTTCGAAGGATTAGTACCCTTATGGCATTTCACCATCTTTGATTTTTCTTTGTCAACAAATTCATCATCCCTTCCCTATCCATCCGTTTCTGCACGTAACGATGCGAGTATCAATAGTGGCCTTTTGACATGCCACAATCTTAGATTTTTCTCCACTCCAAACTGACTTCATCGCCTTCTCCCTCACACAAACATACATATTGCAAAATAAATGTGAATATTGCGAAAAACAAAGAAGTACTCATTTGATTTGTACATTCGATTATAGGAGCAGAGTTGAAGTTTTTCAGCGTTCGCAGCCTACTAGACGTACATTTTTTCTGAAGTATATTTTTACCAAAATAGGATATTCTTTATGTATGTATAAAATGTATGGAAGTATAGGGTGTTCCATTTGAAACTCCAAAGTTGGGATAATTTCCTGTGAAACTTGAAATGCTTCAGTAATATTTTTGATCGAGTCAGTCCAGTTTGTTAGGTTGGGTTAGGTCCAAAGTGAGTGGGTCTATTCGACCTCCACCGCAACCCACAAGGGTTTATTGTGGCTCACGCCTATTCACACTCGACCAAATTAACCCAGCTTTTTAACGAAGCCAATCAGTTTGTAAGGTGAGTGGTCTCTCAGGTCAGATGGTAAGAGTACGTCTCTGCCTAACGCTAAAAACCTGATTCGGTCCCTAGCGCGACAAGCACAAAGAATATGCTCTGCTATTTTATTGTTAATGAGGCAGTCGGATAGTAAAGGTGCAAGATTCCCATTTTGATACCCACGACAACCTTCCCATATGAGGGTTTTTGTAAGTCAGCTACACCTGACGATGCCTCAGATTCAACCGTGCAGGGCTTTGTCGCCTTTGGTTTCAGTGAATCATCACTTGAGCGCAAAGGTTTGCTAACCAGCTAATGGGGATTTGTTTCTCCACCTGAGACAGATTCTGCGTAGGCCGCTCAAGAATTTGGTGCGAGTCGGTTTCATAAAGTACCCCGCTCTTAGGAGACGACTCAGTCGTCGAGAGTTGAGAAGCTCTCGCTCCTGCTCTAAATTTACAGGGAGGTCAGTTGGAGTCGTAAGCTCGACATCCACCTCCACTTTAGACTCAGCGTCAGGGAGAATTTTTAAGTTTACTCTGTCCATAAAAGTCCCACGAGTAGCTAGAGAAAGAAGGTCAATCACGGCAGAGCTCCGCATTACCGTTACAAGGCGATGCTACGACGAGAGGACTCCCGGTATCTCGAAGGTTCCGTAGATACACCTGATAGGCTCAGTGTCATTCATCCTCTCGACACAGATACACACACCGTAGGATCAAGCCATCGTTGGGATGCCATTCAGTTAGGGCGCAACAGAACCACAAGTGATTCTGTCATTCCCGTATCCAGCGGGGCTACATGGAAGCAGGCATCTGATAGCCGGTTTGCTCAACCCCCACATCCCAAGCCAATACACTCCCCAAAAACAGCAAGCACAATTGTTCAGGCAGTGAAAGATGAACAAAAACAGACAACCCCCCAATCCAGATTGTGATACCATTTGAACTACCAAAATTCCCCTAGGATACCAGGGGAGAGACAAAATTTATAGGGGCGAACCTGAATGGGTTTACACCCGGTATATGACTTTGAAATATTGATGAACTGATTTTTCCATCTCCTTCGATTTCAATTACTCTATTTGCCTCTACTTCGATAGATACAAAATGAATATTTACGATTTCCAAATGTTTCGTACATTATTTCGTTAACATTTCCACTTTAGGTGTTCGATAAATGTTATATTGGAGCAACGCCAGAACTGGATGAAGAACGGGTATTTTGCGGACAAATGTCAGCAATTTATCTTTTCAGCGAAGCCCTGACCACACATCAAATATGCGCGATGCATAGGCTAGGTCCCGGATACAAAGTGAGTGGAATTGAATTTATATGTACTTCCGTCTGTTTAACACGTTCGTTGATTTCCATTGCATTTTCATCAAATTATTAACGACTACGGAATGATACTAACCAGATTCATATGTTATTTATTCCAGAGTCAATTTAGGTTTGATAACGAATGCAACATAAATCTGCCAGACAATCACAAAAGGGTGAGTGGTAATAATGAACAGGTACCCGCATCTAGCATGCCCATGCCTCTACCTTTGACAACAGCACCAGATGCACGTTCCGTAAGCATTTTTGTTTTTATTTTTGCACGGTTTTATGCAGCGGCGGCTCGTCAGAGGAGGCAAGGGAGGCTTAGCCTCTCCATAAAATTTGAGGCTATTCATCGCAATGAATTAAAAGATATTGACAAATAATTATGATTATTTTTTTCTAAAAATGCTTGGGTATCATTACTTTACCATTAATTTTTAAGCCTCCAAGCCTCCGACCGCTCTAAAAAATACAGGCTCCACGAGACCGATCCAAGCAGCGACAAACGTCCCGATTTGTAATTTCAGTTGCAGAAATTATAGCGTCAGAGGAGGCTAGCCTCCAGTTGGTCTCCGTTAGTGTACGACTGCGTTTGTTTTTTATTTAATTATTCGGACGGGATACCGTGACGGACCGGGACTAAAAATTATTCCGGTAAATTGTTTTAGTGCTTTTTGGTAATATTTTTAAAGTGTTTTCTTTTAATTTCAAGGTGTTTTCAGGTTTTCACTTTTACGTAAGTGTTTTTTTCATTTATTATGGATAAGTTGGACGAAATTAAAAAATCTGACGATATAGTCGATTGGTTGCTGACAAATAATTTTAACTCTTCATCTTATGATAATGAATTTTACATTATTAAAACTCTGGGAAGGCCTCAACCAAATTTGATTTCAATTAAATCGTCAGATTATCGACAAAATCGAGGATTTAATATTAGTTGGTACGATAAATGCGATTGGTTAACCGGCTCCATTAAACGAGAAAAACTTTTTGTTGGCCCTGTGTTTTATTTTCCGTACAAACCGAATACCAAACGTGATCTAAAATAGGATACTCCGATTTAAAAAATTAACCTCGTGTTATGGGGCAAATATGATTCATAATTTGACACTTTTTTAAACGGTAGTGTTTTTTCGGGCACCTCAAAAACCATCCAAAATGAGCTTATTATAGACAGTGTAGCATATATTATTGAGGAAAATACAAACAAGGAGATTGAAAGTGTTTCTTTTTTTGCATGGGAAATTGATGAAACTACCGATATTACCTGTACATCACAACTTTCAATCGTTTTTAAATATGTCAAAGATGGTAATGTGGTAGAACGTTTTATGGGTTTTCATGATGTTTTATCTGGGCGCACAGCTGACGATTTGTTTAATTTTTTAATTCGTACGTGCGACACCTATAATTTTAAGCAAAAGTTAATTGCGCAAACCTATGATGAGGCTGCGGTCATGGCCGGCCATTTAAATGGTTTACAAAGTAAAATAAAGTCCATAGCTCCTCATACATTTTTTACGCATTGTCATGCCCATGCCCTAACTTTAGTATTAGGCAAAGCGTGCAACAACATAAAAATTTTCGCGCCTTCGGCGGGCTTTTCTGTGTGTATGTAGTCTATATGACTTAAGCCTCCCCTGTTCTCCAATGCACGAGCCGTAACTGGTTTTATGCAATATTATCAAATTTATTCAGTAACCTTTTGGTGAAAGAACCTGATATAAATCAGCTGTTGGAGCGTTTAAATTATTTTGAAAGTCCGTATCTCAATAAATATTCATATTAATGTGTCGTTGAACGATTCTTGGCCAATTTTTCTCGATTAAAATTAAGGGAAAGCGCTGTCGCAGCAACCCGAAAAACAAACCATGCGTTTTACAATGGCAGTGTTAATAAACGCAATGTTCGACGTTGCTTTGCGAAATTCCGTTCCAGAGATTCAAGCTTCGAACAGCCCTGAAGCGGTTGATCTACAGTAATGCAGAAAAATTATTTGAGGAACCTGGTGAGGATTGACCCATCACAATGGTGTTTCGATCCTGCTCCACGACAACGCCTGCTTTACGTTTCACAAGTCACCGTCCGAAAATTGAACGAATTGGGTGTTGAAGATATGTCTCACCCACCATACTGCCCAGACCTCTCGCCAACCGACTGTCATCTTTTCAAGCACTTCGATAACTTGAACACTGGTAGAATCTTCCCCAGACCAGACAAAACGGCTTTCGTCGACTTCATGGATTCCCGAGCTCAAAATTTTCTTGCTGACGGAATTGTTCGACTTGTGTTACTTTGGCAAAAGTGCACTGATTCAAATGACGCTTATTTCGAATAAATTGAAATAGTATTCACTGAGATTTCGCAGTTTAAAGTAGACTCATAAAAACAGACAAAACTTTTGAAACAACCTAATAGTTACTGAGAGAATTCATCTAGTTCAAGTTGGAATGATTCTGCAACGTTCTGCTGACGGACTGCGAATAGCCATGATGCTTTGTAGGTGGCTCGGGGAGTTATTAACATTGCCTACCCAGGACACGAGGCTAATACCAGTGTAGTAGACGCCGATGACATCAAGAAAATAAAAATAGTAACTGAAATGAATCTTTAAAGATTTGCCGCATAATGACCACATATTCCTCAAATCTATGATATTGGAATTATATGTTCTATTTTTTCAACCTGGGGTTGAAATTTTGACTTTTAACTCTAAATTTCGACATTAATCTCGGAATAACGACTCCAATTTCGAAATCATGAATTTGAACTCGAAATTTCGACTTCAATCTCAAAATTACGACTTCAAACTCGAAGTTTCGACTTTAATTTTGAAATTACGACTTCAATCCCGAAATTGCGACTACAATTTCGAAATCACGAATTTAAACTCAAAATTTCAATTTTAATCTCAAAATTGCGACTTCAATCTCGAAATTACGACCTTGAACTCAAAAATTCGACTTCAGTCTCAAATTTACTACTCTTATTTCGAATCATGACTTTGAACTCGAAATCACGAGATTGAAGTCGACTCAATTTTGAAATCACGACTATGAACTCAAAATTCGGCTTTTATCTCGAAATTACGACTTTAATCTCGAAATAATGACTTCAAACTCAAAAATTCGATATTAATCTCGAAATTACGACTCCAATTTCGAAAGCACGAATTTAAACTAGAATTTTCGAAATTAGAGTCGCATTTTTGAGTTTAAACTCGTAATTTCGAGACTAAAGTCATAATTTCGAGAATCAAGTCGTGATTCCGAGATTGAAGTCGTAATTTCAAGATTCAAGTCGTGATTTCTAGATTAAAGTCGTAATTTCGAGTTTAAAATCATTCTTTCGAAGTTAGAGTAGACTTTAATCCCATAATTTCATGTTCAAAGTCGTGATTTAGAAATTAGAGTCGTAATTTCGTGATTAAAGACGAATTTTCGAGATTAAAGTCGTGATTCCGAAATTAAAGTGGTAATTTCAAGATTTAAGTCGTAGTTTCGAGTTAAAAGTCGTTTTTTTTTAATTGGAGTCTACTTTAATCTCGTTATTTTGAGTTCAAAGTGATTATTTCGAAATTAGAGTCGTAATTTTGAGATTAAAGCAATTTATTTTGTTTGTTAGATTAACTAGTTGTGTTTTTTGTCATTGTTGGAGCATGTGAGTATGAGAATGGAATAGATGGAAGTAAATCATTGTTTTATTAGAGATAGATATGATTTCAGCATTTTTTAGTTGTCCGTCAAGTGGTACAAAAACAGCGGACGATAAAACATATTCATGGTTCAAGTAACGAAATTTTCAACTGGTTTGGTTCCATAAGAAAACTGCTTTTTTGTATGAATTTAAAAAAAAACCAATAGGAAAGTGACTTCTGCTTTTTTAAATACACCACAGAGTTTTTTTTGTTCAAAACATGTGTACAAACACATTTTTTGCATACATACGGAGTAGTATAATATATAAATTTCATATTCTTTGAAATACATTAAGGTAGAGGAGTCGTTTTTCGCTGCTCATCTGAGTTTTCAACTTTCCACAATCTAATAAATGAACAGAACTGAATCGACAAAGAATCTGCTGAAGTGTAATAAAAGGCAAACTGAAAAGTTGAATCCGAAAAGTTACTGCCTAATATAAACCACAGAAAGTCCAATTAGTCAGTAATTTTTCTTGTTCATTGCTTTCGAATTGATTATTCAATGGAAAAAATTAAAATTATATACTCGATTTGCTTTAATGGTTTGGAAGTAATCCTTTTCCGAAATACAAAGAAATTACTTCTGAAACCTTCTCAAATGGAAATACGTATAACAAACGTCAAAAGAATGTCATATTCAATAGTCTACAAGGAAACCTAAATATATGAGTTCCTGTTTTTTCATCGATTATCAAATTTAGAGGCAAGTTTACGAATACGACAAATTATATTATTGACTAATTGATCTCTCTAGTGGTTAATATTACGCAGTAACTCTTCGGAATGAACTTTTTGAATTACTTTATCACATTTCAGTAGATTCTCCACTGATTTAAGTTCAGCTTTTAGTTTCTGGAAAGTTAAAACAAATATATTTCACTAGACCCGTGTAATTTCTAAACATTTTTCAGAACCCACCATTCATGAACTTGAATTACAGTTAAGAACAATTGTTTTCACTAATAGTAATACTTCTTATATTTCGAATGCATAGTTGTTATCGCCTTTATTGCCATTGTTCAGTTAATCAGTGGGGTTTGAACTGTGGTATTTGATATATTAGTTTTGTATTAGACGCATTAGAAAAAGCTTTGTGAAAATGATACTGTTGATTTTGATATGCATGTTGGTTCATTTATTTAAAAAATTAACTACAATTCAAACGTATTCTGAATTATTGCCAAATTCATCACTGCAACGAGTGTTTGTTACGTGAGTGCCAAAAGAAAAAATAATCAATTTTTCTGATATATTTCATTCAAGTACCACCCGCTTATATTTCTCAATTTGTTATTAGGTCAGTATATGTAAATTTACTGTTTCCATACAGAAATACTCCTATTGAAGTAACTGAAAAAGATTCATCAGTAATAGTGTAGTTCAGGTCGGTAAATAATAGCTCACTTCTCACCCTTGGCGAGCATTTTCTTACTTTTCATTTTATTCATAATGATATGTTCCAATACGGAACAAGAATCGATAATTGAACTTCACTATGAAGACGGTACTTCCGCTGATATTGCAGCATTGTTTGCTTATTGTTCAAAATCCTGATAATCATGGTAACTGGTAATACGTTTCAGAAACCGTACTCTTAGAAAGACAAAATTGTTGGCAAATTGAAGATGCCTCCAAAAGAAATAGTGAGAAATGAGCTATAGAAATCCTTTTGGGCTACAGTGTAATAATTCTACCTTGAATACTAGACAAATATTTCTAGTTTTTGGCACTCCAAGAATTTTGAAGTCTCATAAATTGCTTTACTTCGAAAATTTTCCAAGTTCTTCAATTAACGGGTGGTAAATAACAAGAATATATTGTTCAACACTATTCATCTTTATAACTGCCAGTATCAGTTTAATAGACACCCACATTGAGTTCATAAAGTTTACATACGAATATACTGGAAAGCATTTTGGGAAAGACAGTTTTTGGCTTCCTACTACTCCATCTTGATACAAAAAAATGTGGGAATTTTCTAAAGAAAGGAAGTCATCCTCCTTTAATTTGAAAATTCCCTTTTTTTTGTATCAAATTCCATGTAAGTGAAAATTTTACCTTTCGTTTAGTATACTCTGTAGAAATCCTGTGAATGATATCTTATTTAATTTCATAACGAATATTTGGAATACAAACTGAGTAAAGAAAGGTGTTTTTTTCTTTCGAAACAAAAGCCAAAAACTTTTTTTCCCAAAAAATAAGTCACTCCTAAAAATATAACCGTCTCAGTTTAAACTGGAAAGCTCTTCCGAGGGACTGTTACAACGATAATGGGGATCCCCCTCACTACACCTTTGCTATATCAGGAAACTTTTTCTGGTAGTTGGATCGATCGAAAAGAGCGAGTGAAGTGGTTTGCAATGTCATTTGATTTGCAATGCCATTTGATTTGATTCCGTTATAGTTCTTGACAGGTCGCTTGAAGACTACGATTCACAAAAGTGAACCATCATCTCAGGATCACTTATGTCGGTGAATTAGCAGCAGTCAGTAATTCATTACTGAGTGCATCTGAAATGGTTCAGTATGTCGGAAACCGTTTTGAACGAAACCTTCATTACTCCATTGGAGCAGACGAATACCATTATGAACACTTACTGTTGAAAAATTTTGTACATTATTGTTTCTCACAACTTCTTTGTGGAGGTGAAAACCGTAAAGTTGAGCTTGGGAATAATGATCATTCTTTACAAAAACAAAGCAAACAAGAATTTCTAATTTGATGAAAACAAATATTGTTGACTTTATGCTTTTTATCGATTTCTGCTGCATCAAATTGTGAAAAGTAACCCCGTTTGAAAATTATGACTTAGATATCACCTCTCTCCCGAGGGGTTGGAAGTGGTATAGAGAAATGTTTGCCAAAGATTTCCATTTGTAATACAAGTGAATAGCTTCGAGCTATTTTTAGGTAAACGCCAACTATGAAAAATTGACCATTTGTTTTTCTATTATATATAATCGCTCTTTTCCGTCGTTTCGCATTCACCTAAACATATATGCTGCTTTTACAAATCCCTTTGAAGTTTTATCTCCTCTCGAAACTCGAAACTAATCTAATACTCTATAATCCAGGTCTTATATGACGGCAAGCTGTCTAGTGCCATCGTGTTCATGTATAATCCAGTAGCAACAGACACTCAACTATGTCTGCAATCGGCGCCGAGAGGAAATATGTCTTTCTTTGTCCACACGCCCCATGCTCTCATGTTGCAAGTAAGTTATTGAACGTTTTTTTAAGCGAACACAGTGTCTTATTATTTGTTATGTTACTTCCAATATTGAACAGAACGGATTAGATTAGATTCAATGGACATTTTCAATTGTAGAAATTGTTGAAATTATGAAACAACAAAAATTAATTGTCGCTCCGGGGCGACTTGACTGATTCCAGTGGCGCATTTGCTTCTTTAGCTGCAAGAAAAACCCGGAAAAACCTGCAACACCACATCATCTGAAGATCTTGATCCTCTCTTGTATAGAATAAAATCTAGGGTGGCTCTAAGGGCTCCAATGAATTCAAGATATTGCCAGAATATTTAGTGACACGACTATCGTCAAACCTAACCAGATTCAATGCCAGAACCACAGTGAACAATGACTGCATGAAGGTTAAAATAGTGGTCTGCTCGATTGAAGTGTTCATCTATTCCATGTGACCCATTGTACATCCTCCCGAGGAGTTGTCCTCCTAGGTTATCGTCCATCTTGTCCTCTTCTAGAAGGTGAACAGGTCATTAGGAGACATCTCCTTGATATTGGCAGGTGTAGGCTAAGACTCGTCGAACACACACTCTCTTTGGCAACCTTGAGGTATCTCACGGTGGACTCCACGAAGGTTTTGAAAGGTGCAACGATATTACTGTTGTTACGCGGCTTCTTCAACCTTCTTGGGGTTTCCTCCGTGGAGGTGAACAAGTGAGGAAGCTTTCCTGCAAGGGTAGCCGGTTCCGTGCCTTTATTCAAGTCAGAAAGTGCCGCAGAAAGTGCCCTTGGTGTTGGAGGTGATCTGTCCAGCCTCATTCCAAGCGATAGATTGGGGTGAACATTTCTGTTCATCCCCAGCCACCGCCTTAGATTGGGGTGAGCACTTCTGTCCAGCCTCGGGATTGGTTTTTGTTTTTGTTATTTATGTTTTTGTGTTGTTTCATTCATGTGTGTTCCCACGAATAGCAAGGAAGAGTTGGGCACTTCTGGCAGAGCCCCGCATTACCAGAGGTAGGCTGATTACAATGAGGTTTCTTCCAGTTCTCCAAGGGGATCGTTCGTGACCGCATATCACCCTGCGGCCATTCAGCTGTCAGCACGATTCCTTACACCTTGGTTTGGGTAGGCTGGTCCACGGTGGCATGTTTTGCAAAGGCTTTTGGGGGTTTCAGTTCCCCCCACTCTACTTATTTTTGCCACTGACCAGGACCCACGGGGATCATCAGTGTTATTATTAGATTAACTGGTGTCTCAGGCTATAGGTTATATAAATAACGTTCAGAAGCCTAGTGGTTCCTATAGGGACCACATCGTTTGCTAACCTGTATCATACAACCCCTAAATTTTAAACCCAAATGGGACCTAAAATTATAATTTATAGTACTAAACGAACATGAAACCCACCTCAAAATAATTGACAAAGATTAAAAGCAGACCAATAATGTTTGCAACGTGTTTGTTTATATAGGTAACGCGAAACCTTGCTAGGTATTCAAACGTGTCTTACACTTTAGACGCCTGGAATAAACTAAAATCAGATCAGTGACGATATAGGTTTCTAATAAGGTATAAATATCTAAAGCAAATGAACTTCAAACGTTCAAGCCAGTCTCTATATACCTACACAGTAGGTTAAATGGACTGACGCCTATCAGAAAACAACTACTCCCCTGGCTAATACCACGAAGGGCGTTGGATTATATCCGACAGTTGTTTTCTGACTGCTAGTCTTCAAGCATAGCCCACTGACTAATAAGAAAGTTTTTCTTCCTTATTCAGAGGAATCGGGCAAATTACGGATATGCAGTTGGTTAGTACCTCGTCCACTAGATGGAGTGACATTTTGTGATGTTCGCTCCAACTTTGGAAGAGGAATGAAATACTCTGAAAGAATTCCGATTTTCAATTGTGGAATATCATTGACTTTAAGTCGATGATGGTCACTATCTTGCACTGATGAGTGGCTAATAAGCCCGAAACCGGTCTGCAAGTGTGCCCGTTCCATAATTGAAGGTCGACTCTTTCAGTTGTATTGCTAATTGCATTTGCAGGGAATTTTCTGTGAAGATTCCTGCACTGACGCCTGTCGGATATAATCCAACGCCCTTCGTGGTATTAGCCAGGGGAGTAGTTGTTTTCTGATAGGCGTCAGTCCATTAAACCTACTGTGTAGGTATATAGAGACTGGCTTGAACGTTTGAAGTTCATTTGCTTTAGATTGTTGACTGCCAGTCTTCAAGCATAGCCCACTGACTAATAAGAAAGTATAAATATCTGTAGTTTCAGCAAGCGCTTACTAGACAAACAGAATTTTTTTTTAGATTTGTGGTACTTTGACGGGACCACCTGACACACACAGTATATCATTTCTTGTTCTCTTTCCGTCGAAAATATTCAGATCACCTGGAAAATACGTATCACTAGCAATCATATATTTGTTAGATTTTTCCAATTATCTCATCGTGGCTTACTGGAGAGGGCTGTGGTCCATATAAGAGATTAAAGAGGGGTGAAAATTCATTAAGATGATGATCCAGCTGATGAGCTAGAACCACAGTTCACCTTTCTTTGTGAAAACATTTTTTTTAGAAATTGCACGATTTTGTTGTCAAGATTCAGCTCACTCTAACAACTAAAAAACATTTTTTCTCGTGTATGTATAATTTCTATTGAAATGAATTAAATCTGATCCATTCTGGCGCACTAAATATTATATGATCAACTTTTAAGGGATAGTATGATAATTTTTGTGTTTATTTAGGACGTGAAAGCTGTGATAACACACTCCATCCATAGCACTTTGAATTCCGTAGGAGGGATTCAAGTTTTGTTTCCCCTATTTTCTCAACTAGACCTGCCTTACGAATCCAATGGTTCATCGGACATCAGAAGGGATCCTACTTTATGGTAAGAATTTATTTTGCTATCCATTCAACTGTTTATTTACTCAGTGAAGGAATGAAATAATGTTGATAGGATGGTTCACCCAACTCAGTGTTCCCGATTTTCTTTCTAACGATGTTAGTTGAGACTGCTCAACAGGAATAAAAAATTCTAGTAATTAGGGCCCAGTTGTAAAATCGAATCTCAGTTGAACCTCTCAACTAAGAACTTCGTTTGTATACTGTAATCCTTTTCACGATCGAATGTTGAACCGAATTTAACAAAACGAATTTCTAAGTAAACTTTTTGGGTTGGCAAAACTAAAACATGCACATTGAGAATGATTTTGATAATGATATGAAGGTGAGCATTATTTATTGATAAACAAAGAACTTTCCATCGTAGTGAGAAAAATATCATAAAAATATAGAATACCTCTGATAAAATTAAAAAATTTTGATATTACAAAATACAAATGTACATGTTGATATTATATGCAAATTGCACTGCAGTTTCTTCCTGCTCATTTAGTTTCCTGGTTCATTCAGAACCATACAATCTAGTATATAAAATTCTCTTATCAGTGTTAGTTGCCATTCTCCTCGGAAACCGCCCCAAAGTTTTTTTATATGTATATTCAGTAAGTCTGAGAATAGTTTTCAGTCTAATTTCCAAAAGGGTATTCCACCCCAAACATTTTTTTTAATTCTTTGGAAATTTTTTTTGTTTTTATTTTTTTGCAACAGTATTTTTTTGCAACAGCACACGATTAGTCATTGAAAAATAAATTACAAACGTAGGATTTTTTTTGTTTTCATTTTTTCATGATGGGGTCATAAAAAATACATGTAACCCTCAATTTTCACCCTTCTATCACCAACCCCTGTTTTTTAATAGCCATTTTAGTAATCCAATCATTTTTAACCCTGTCCATGGATCAGTTATTCTGGCCATTCTTCTCGCTCAGTTAACAGCAGGGAGTAAGGATGAGAACGAAGTCGGTCTCCTGTCTCTCTCACACGATACGCCTTCTCACTCCCTACACAGTTTTCGGCCACTATTATTGTTCATCCATCGAGCGTAGATACAGTTTGCGATGCCACCGAAGCTGTAAATTATCTAACAGAGTTTTTGTACCTACTCATTGTATTTGCCAGGCATGTCACCGCATAATTTACAACTGAATCCACCACAGCTGTGCAACAGCACACGATTAGTCATTGAAAAATAAATTACAAACGTAGGATTTTTTTTGTTTTTATTTTTTCATGATGGGGTCATAACAGTGCATGTAACCCTCAAGTTTCACCCTTCTATCACCAATTCCTGTTTTTTAATAGCCATTTTGGTAATCCAATCATTTTTTATCCTGTCTATGGATCAATTATTCCGGCCATGCGTCTACCGATGTACTTCTCACTCAGTTAACAGCACGGAGTAGGTATGAGAACGAAATCGTTCTCCAGTTTCTCTCACATGATACGCCTTCTCTCACTCCCTACACAGTTTTCGGCCACTATTATTGTTCATCAATCAAGCGTAGATACAGTTTGCGATGCCACCGAAGCTGTAAATTTTCTAACAGAGTTTTTGTACTCATTTTATTTGCCAGGCATGTCACCGCCTAATTTACAACTGAAGGTTGGATCGCTTCCTTATGCGAACCCACCACGGCTGTGCAACGCACGCGATTAGTCATTTAAAAATAAATGAGAAACTTTGTTGAAGCCAGTAGTCGAAGCCATCATTTCAAATGGCAAGTGAGGTGAAAATCCTTATTATACCTACAGATGTGCCAATTCATTTTAAATGTGTGCAATTTCCAATTAGATTGGCATTTACAATGTCCGTTTGTGGCTTTAATTTGAGTACACATCCAGTTTGTTTTTGATAGCTAAATATGGACTAACGAAAAATGTAGACCCTACAGCATTGAAGGATTAATATTATTTGTAGGTTTAGGTTAGGTTAGGTCCAAAGTGAGTGGGTCTATTTGACCCCCCACCTCAACCCGCAAAGGTTCATTGTGGCTCACACCTATTCATACTCGACCAAATAAACGATGAAGCCGATTAGTTTGTATGGTGAGTGGTCTTTCAGGTCAGATGGTAAGAGTACGGCTCTGCCGAACTATAAAACCTGATTCAGTCCCTAGCGGGACAGACACAAAGTATGTACTCTGCTGCCTCATCATTTTCCAAACAGAGGCAACATACACTGACTTCCGACAGTCCGAGTCTGCATATGATGATTCAAATGATAGTGACCTGTAAGAAGGCCTGTTAGATATTGTAGTTCATCCCTACTATAGTCCAACAACTATTTGGTATCATACTTCGAAGGGTGAATAAACGCTTTGGAGTGAGCCAATCCTGGAAGATTCTGCCAGAAGTCCATAAATCTTCTTGCCATCCAGGTGTTCAATCTTTGTTTGGCAAAGCCTAAAGCGATGCCAATGACAGGTCCTGGTCCGATGAAGCTGCTTGCAGCACCATCCTTTGCAAGGGAGTCAGCAGCCTCATTGCTTTCCAGGCATGTATGGCCAGGAATCCAGACCAGAGACAATCTGTTGAGTCTTCCTATCGAGGAGAGTCGTTTTTGGCAATTTGCCACCCATTTAGACGTTGCTCGGTAGGAGCCAAACGCTTCTAACGCCGCTTCACTATCCGAGAATATTTTTATTGACTTGTGTATGAGGTTGGATTCTTCCGGTCTCTCAGCACACAATTCAATATCGTAAATTTCCGCTTGATCTTAATATTTCCTTCTCCCAGAGGATCTAGTCCTCTCTACTCGGAAACAGTACTTTATAAGGCAGTTTGTACTTGAAAGTTGAAGGCATAAAGTCAGAGGACATTTCCAGAATGCTGTGATTTCCAGTGTTAACCAACGGTCTGTTGCAGTCTGAATTAAATCGATTTGTGCAATTGGCAATGTGCACAAGTCTATATGCACTCCATCTAGCCTCCCTCTCCAGAAAAATGTGAAGAGGACTTAGATCTAGGAGGTTCTCCTTGCCCGCTGACGGTGCGGTAGTAATGGCATCGCTGATAGCCTGACAAGCCTGTCTCTGTAAGCCAGAAAGCTTCACCTGGACCGTTTTCTGCAAAGCCTTCGGCCACCAGGCAATTGCACCATAAGTGATCATTGGTCTGACAATCATCACATAAATCCAATGGATTTGTTTGGGACCTCAACCCCAAGTTTCACCACAAATCCTACGACATGTCCATAGGGACAGTCTGGCTTTGTGTAAAACTTTCTCCGAGTGAGCGTTCCAGGTGAGCTTGTTATCAAGGACAATGCCAAGATATTTCACCTCCGTTCCAAATGGAATGACCTCACCAATAAAGAAAAGTGGCGTTAGATCGTCCAATTTTCTTCGCCTGGTGAAGAGGATTATCACAGTTTGGCTGGGGTTGACAGACATCTGCCCCCTCAGGCACCAACTCTAAACAACGTCCAACGTGCTTTCGAGGATATAACAAGCTACCATACTATTTGTAAGTGTAATTGTTCTGATAGAAATAATGTATGTGCCAAAACAACTTTGGTTATCCAGTATTTTTATATTTGTGGCAATCACTCCTGCCTGCAGCTGAGAGAAAATTTTCAATAGCATAAAACAGACATGTTTTATACTAATCGTTCCATATGAAAAAGTTGTTTTAACTGTTTCTATAATTTTTGCATATATTTCTCTAACATTTCTAAAGACATTTATGACTTTGGAAATTCATTCATCATCGGTAATTCCTTAGGAATTTCTAAAAAATCCATATTTTGGAATAAATCAGGAAAAAAATTAAAACGATAGAGAATTCAAATTAAATTTCTGGGTTAGATTATGTTCCTCTTGAATTGAGCTTAAAAAAATCTATGGTTTAGTAAATCTCCTCTTATGTGGCAAAATGGACTAGTTTTCCGTTGAACCTGACTCGTGCCACTGAATCTTATTCTAACCAAGCTCAAAATTTGAACCACGTTTGAACTGTGATTGTTTAACTGGGCCTTAAAATCCGATTAGTTTCCATTTATTTATCGAAAATGTAATTTCTCAATATATTTCCATTGAGATAAAATTTGTTTCAGCTCAAAACTCCTGGGATTCATTTGTGAACTAGTGGAAACTTCTCAAACTGTACAGCAACACATGATACAGAACCGAGGATTCCTAGTTATTAGTTTCATGCTGCAGAGATCGTCAAGAGACCACTTGACGATAGACGTTTTAGGATCGTTTCTCAGCTTGACGAAGTACCTTGTTACTTGTTTGAGTGCCAATAGCGAGTTACTACTTAAACAGGTATGTTTTTTGTTGGAATGGTGTGCAGGACCTACTTTGTTCTGTAGGGTAGTAGAAGTTGACGTGAGGATAGATTTTTAATTTCCATTCGAGACTTAGTCATGAGTTCAACAAAAATATTGTAGTTTCTAAAGTTTCTTACTAATAATAAATGCATCTTCTGGGTACTGTCAAATTGGTAGTTGATGTAATCTGTGTTCTTTATACCATTAAGCTCAGTCCAAATATGCAGAAATCATCTGCGATATATTCTTAAAAATAGGAAAATATTAATTATATAAATGAATGTTACTCTATTTTATATCTGGGATTTCCTTAAATAAATACTTTTTCGGACTTGATTTTTCCATGCTGCTTCGAAAGACATTATAACAGGGGTACACTTCATCTGATTGTAATTTTCTTCATCATTAATTCCCACATTTTTTTTAAAAAAGATAGAGAAGTAGAAAGTCAAAACCTTTCTTTCACAATTATTCTTAATTATTTTTAAAAATTTTCAGTCGACTTCTCAATACTACTACTATTCCTTAGTTTCACTCAATAGAAAGCCTAATTATTCTTTTTCGGTTGTTACAATGCATACTATTCCATTCATCATATTACACCAGTCGCTTTGCTACCAGTGATATCAAAAACCATATCCTAAAATATTTGGAAGGCTTCAATATCTTGAGCGATCATCAATATGACTTTCGGAAATAAAGATCAACAGGCTACCTCACCCATATTTGGAATAACGCAATCGAGAAATATGGAGAATCAAGGGCTGTTGCGCTTTATATTTCTAAGGCATTTGACCGTGTGTGACATGAATGTTTGCTGGCCAAACTTCGATGTTATGGCTTGTCAGATCATTTTTGTGTATGGCTCTTTCACCATCAACGCTGTTGTTCCCCAGGGATCCATATGACAGCACACTTATCTCGTCATTCCAGTTGGATTCCAGGACTATGGAGGCACATATTCACCGGCAGTAGGAGGTTGCATATCTTATTGAGGATCTAGAAGTGATTTCGAATTGGGGTGAAAGTAACCAGATTCAATTCAATGCCACAGAAACCCAGGCATCGGTTTTCTCTAAGAAGATACATGTCTCCGAACCGGATATAATAATGTCAGGTCTGACGATTCCTCTTTCTGCTTCGATAAGTTTGTTGGGGGTTAAAATGGACACCAATATATCTTGACACAATCATGTCTCTGGAATTGCAAAGGATGTTTCTCAAAAGCTTGGAACACTGTTCCAAACCAGAAAACTGTACACACCTCAGCAACTTTTGAAGCTTTATAAAACTCAGATCAGACCTTCTTTGGAGTATTGTTCTTATGTATGGAGCTCTGCCCCCCAAACATACCCTGAAGTTGCTGGATTCCATCGAGAAAAGAGCCATCCGCCTGATTGGAGACGCGAACACTGTACTGAGGTTCAACTCAGTACACCTCTAACTCCACTGTTTAAGAACCCTTTCATCTGAAGAACTGCGTTCAAGTGGAATAAACTTCCTGATAACGTTTTTCCAATTGGATTTAATCTCAAGCGATTCAAATCCAATGTGGATCACTACCTTCGCACAGGCACCGCACTGAGAGCGCCTGAACGAGTTTCCTGTAGTGCTTGTGTTTTGTCCTTGATAAAGATTAAGAACCTTAACCTACTTAGACCAACCCACTACAAATATTTCAGATTTTCTGCACAACAAAAGTGTAAATATTGCATTCAAAACCAACAGCAACTTAGGCATGCACATTAAGAATAACAAAGATGAAAGTTCAGTTTCAGAAAAATCGGGAGTGCATAAATTACGAGTATCATGTGGGTCATGTCCGATGTTTTATATAGGTCATACTGGAAGAACGTCCAAAGACCGCATAAAACAATCTCTTGAATTTCCTGAGCAATATTTCCTCAATACCATGGATCAGTTTTTCTACCCGAGTTGTTTTTTGAATGTACGTCAGTTTGATCTTCCTCTTGAAGATGATCACTTGGTGATCGAAACTTTGGTGTTGGGAAAAAACTCCAGTAATATTCATTACTACACCAAAGTTCCAAACAATGCATCACAAGTGCAGGAAATTCAGCTGAAATATTTTTCCTTTCACGTTCATTACAGTGGAATATGGCATACAGATATACAGTTGATGAGGACTGAATACCTAATTTGTCAGAAGCTAATTGGTGTTAACCAACTGTCTGTATATGTGATAATTTACTGTTCGAACGGTGGAATACGAATGTAGACATAATATGCTGATATATCTAAGCAGAGTTGTTTACCAGTTCATTTCCGCAGATGATGTGTTTGTTCATAACATCCCGCAGATCATCCAATTTATGGGGAGAGGTTGATGATGAATAATAATGGAAGGTTTAAAGCAGAATAGAAATCAATAAGAGAAGTGATACCTACTCAGTTTCAGGTATTCCGCAGTGGAAAATCTTAAATTTTGAATGTGGCGGCGAATCCAACTAATTTTCACAGGACGGACCAGTGAAAACGACACAAAGTCGTTCCGATAGTTGACGTTCTATAAACTAATTCAGATTCATCGAATTTCATTATGACAGGGGATATTTCAGTCATGTTACTGCCTTACTTCCTTGAATTTAATGCACTAGAGATCGAGAGAAAGTTTATTTACTTATTAAAGAGTGACTCATTTTACAAACTTTAATCAACATTTCTGTAGAAATGAAGTCGATTTGAAGAAAGTTATTTTTCAAATTCCAGCTGAAATTCATGTAGTGCCATTTTGTGGAAGAAGGAGTCATTTTTTCTAAGTACAGATTTGAGGTTTAAACCTCGCCAAGTGTTGAGACTGGTGATTTTCTGCTACCCTATAGTTATTAGATAGATGGATAGATAGATAGATATTTATTCACCACTTGAATGGGGTATATTTTTAGAAAAGGAAGGTTTTTGTACTTTCTACTTCTCCATCTTTATACAGAGAAATGTGGGAATCTTTCAAACAAAAAAAAAAGCAATCAATTACAAAAAATTTACTCTATACAAAGATGTGTAGATTATGCAAAGAAGTGACTTTCAGACAAAAACTGGGAGAAAAATCCCAATCGCAACAACTACTTTCATATGAACACTGAAGTACATGAGAGGAAAATACAGATTGTCAACGTCAAAGTCTCGGTTTAGGACCTTCCCTAAGATGTATATTCTTTAGGAGACTATGTGTGAGAGACAGAATTCTCAAGTCTCTTCCTAGTTTCAACAAGCTGTAGTTCCGAAATAACTACTCTTATATGAACACTGAATTATACAAAAAAAATCCCTATTCAGTTTAAACTCCAAACATTCGTTATGAAATTGAATCAGATGTCTTTTAACATAATTGATTCGCAATATAGTTTATAAAAGAAGTAAAATTTCACTTACATGGAACATTGTTATCCTCAATTAGTACCTCATCAGCACAAATCTGGATAACAACACTCAATACATTCGTAAAATTATGACTTTATGTTACGAATGAGTTGAATCTTCGCACGATCCGATTCGATTTTGATATTGAAACTGCCGGGATTCAATTTCCTCACTTGTGCTGGAAATATTGTGAATGAATCCAATCTCAAAGAATTTTTGCACGACATAACCAATCTATATCTGGGTCTCTTAAGACTGGACTATTCCTCTGAGAGATGACTATTTATAGGTCATTCGAACGCTTTCAACTAAACCTTTTTTCCCTCGCTCCGCTTCACCGGTTTAGCGGGAGTTAGCCATTTTCCCACTTGATTACAGGTCCTTTGAGCTTCCTCCCAAACCCGTGCTTATACCTGTGGACGATCTCAACTAGGAGAAACACTGGTTCAAGAGGAAGCTCAAAGAAGCTGCACATGTTTTCCATATTGACCTTTCTTGTATCATCGAGAAAATGGATTCTATAGTTAACGCTATTTCTTGGGAAATTTTATCAACATCTGGCAGAATTTTCGGTTGTCAAATGATTGTTATCACCCGTATATGACGAAACAGAAAAAATTGATTCCTTAGGAAACATTGAAAAATATCCTGACAAATGCTTCACAACCCTAGAATATAATGTCAATATCTTCAACTACTACAAAATGGAGGAACTTTTAATAATTGGCGGAATGCATTGACATTTAACTACATAATATGAGGTAATAAGCTCGAGGTCAGTTCAGAAGATGCTCGAAATGGTTGCCCTGAACTTTTTGACACATGAACAGCCTATCCGATATTCCAGGCTGAACATTTTCGAACACAGTAACGTATATCCAATATTGAAGTAGGTTCAGTTTCGTACACCTTTTGCTTCAAAAAGCCCCATAAAAAAGTCCAAATGTGTCAAATCTGGCGAGCGGGCTGGCCATTCTGTAGGACATCGACGGCCAATCCAACGACCGGGAAAAGTAGTATCCACGTAGTTTTTTACTTGTCTGGAGTAATGTGGTGGTTCTCCATTTTTTCGGATATTTCGATTTTGATCAATAAATAGAGGTTCTACAATATTTTTTCATAATATTTCTGCCAAAACGTGTCACTCCAATAACGGCAATTTTGTCTTTGAACATTGTCCAGATAGGTAGGATGCCTTGAAATGGTTTCCGTCAAGATTTCGCAGAATTCCGTTCTTCGATCAGGGTCATCTTCAGTTAATTGGTGTACCATTTTAATTTTGAATGGATGATACCTATTCCTCTTCAAAAGTCTCCACACAGTAGGAGACACCTCACAAACATTCGTGACGGAATAAGTAGATTGTTCAGGATTCACTACTATCTCACCAATTATTTGCACTTTCTGTTCTTCCGGAACGGACGGATGATCTGGGGACTTTTTGTTGTGTACACTACCGGTAGTTGTGAATTTGGATTCAAGTTCCCTCAAATATTTTCTACAGATAGGACGATTCGGAAAACATTCATTGAAAATCATTTCGGTCTCGTGAAAGTTTCGCGTCGCACCGTGAATAAAAATCGCTTAAATTTTTTCTTCCAATGGACGAGAATT